CAGCTTCAGCTACACAGCCATCTGTGACAGGTCGTCTAATCATTAGCAAACATGTCCCATTTGACAGATTTAGTGTACTGATTGTGGGTTATCTTCCCCTAGTTACACTGAAAGCAGTGCCAGCCAGCCGCATCTTCAAGAATGATTTCTGCAGACCTATTTTAGACAGCCTATTTATCCACCTTTCATCTCCTTGTCCTTAAAAGCAGAGACAGGGGGATATAGTGGGTCACATCCCCTGGCACATGTGTTCTCAGTATCTTAGTAACTAGCAGTCACCAACTACAGAAGGTTTAGTCACAGCTACTTACAGGCACTAATGTGAGAAGCCATTGTACTTCCTGTTCGAGGATAACACTTCTTAACCCTATTTCATGATCTCCAGCCCAGATGCACACATTTTATAAAAGGGACATTTTGGGGAAAGGTAAACAGTAAGAAGCACCTAATTTTATAGGAATCACTTAACATACACACACGAATCTCCTTTTAACGAACCACACTGGAGTAAGGGAATGAGTAACATTAGGCCACACTTTCCATCTCCCATTTTAATGCTTTAATCTGATAGGCATGGTGTATTTTAACAACCTGTTAAATACACTTAAATGCCAAAGCAAAATTTTGCTAAGCCATGGTAATTTCATGGCTCCGTACAAAGTAGAGCTTTTAATAATGACAAGGTCACACTCAAAAAGTCATTGTAACATACTCTTGTGCTGAACATTTTTTAACTAGAGAGCAATTTTTAGTTTTTATCCTAGATAATTTCTGTGCTCTAGTTTACAATGCCGCAGTTAACACAGGAAGCAAGAGGAGAGACGAGTTACACTGGAACTTTTCTGCTACCTTTGCCGCAGAAGCCAGCTGCAGCCAATTACTTGCATTTTTCACTTAGGCATATGAAACAGTTAAGCAACTGCAGTACCTTTGCTCAGAAAACATAAAGCTACCAGATTTCCACCAGGTTTGCAGCACAAGAATAGGGTCAGACAACCTCTTCTAACCACTGCTCATCTAGATTAGAGAGGACTAGAATGTGGCAACTCACAGATATGGGCAATACTCATGCAGATTGTATGCACAGTGGTTGATTGCGTCTTGGTTACTTGGCAAATACAAGGTAAGGCGCTAAGGGTCTGATCCTCTAGACACTAACTGAAAAAAGCACATGACTTAAGACTAATTCAGGACAGAGAGTCACTTCTCTGGGAATAGCTGAATGATCCAACCACTGCCTTTCACTGTGTCTCCAAGCAGAGACTATATAAGGGAGTGGGAAAGTGCCTAGCCCTGCTGCAAAGAGCTGGCTGGCTTCCCGCTGAAATGAAGTGAGGCCTCCCATGAACCATCCTGCCAGCCTGCCTCAGACAGCTGGACAGGCTGGAAAGCAGTAACCTCTTAAATGACCTAATTTGGCTAAAAATGTATCTAGTAATCATCCCTTAAGCACCCTCCCCTTGTATTCATATTGTTATGATCCAGAACATACAGAGGGGTTACACAAGCATTATTTTAGACTTCCACAGCCAAAGAGGTAGGGATGTCATGGCAGAAACCTCCTTTTGGCAGTCTTTTTAAAACCTCTGCCACACAGGTAAACCACGGTATTATGCAATCCTAGCTTTATGTTATTTGAGAAATGAGGTTTTGGAAAAAAAAGGCGTTGAAAGGCCTTGGCATATATTCAGTTTTAGAAAGGTAGGCAAAAATACTCCATGTGACTTAAGCACATAGGAATTCAAGTAATTTTTGTTTTCACCTAATACTTTTTTTCATGCTTGGCCAGCGTATGTGTTCCCAACACATTTCATACACGTCTGCTGGGTGCAGCTGTTAAGGTTTAGCGGCAGGAGAGCAACAGGGGGCTGCAGGGGAAGCCGCTTAAGGAGGAGGCCAGGGGCTGCCCCACAATGGACAAAGCTGTTGCAGCAGCCTCCAGCAGACCCACCACAGGGCACAGTGAGCACCTCAGCCAAAATCGTGGTAAGGCCTCTGGGAAAGTGTATTCAAGAAAGGGTGAAAACACCAGACAGTGAGAGGAAGAGGTCAAGAGGGTAAAAAAGGGCAGAAGGAACATCAAGGACTGAGGAGAAGGAGGTGCTTGATGACAAAGAAACTATCTGCACTGCAGCCCATACAGAATATGCCAGAGCACGTGTTACTTCATGAAGAACTGGAGCATTTGGAGGAGCCCATGCTGCAGCAAAGAGAAAAATAAAGGAAGAAAGGCAGAGCAGAGACAAAAATTGTTATGTAATGACTGTAATCCCTCACCAGCCCCACTTAGGGGGCAGGGACAGGGCGAGGAGTTGGGGGCAAAGGAGTGAAGTTGAGACTGGGGTGGGGGGAGGAAAGGTGTTCTATCATTTGTCTTTGCTTCTCATTATCCAAATCTATTTTAACTGGTACTACATTAAATTGTTTTTTTCCAAGTCAAGTTTGTTTTGCCTGCAACAGTAACTGGTAAGCAATCTCCCTGCCTTTATTCTGACCCATGAGCTTTCTCACCCTATTTTCTCTCCTTGCCCTGCTAGGAAGGGGCAGTGAGGGAGCGCGTAGGTGGGCATCTGACTGCCAAGCTTAGGCCACCACAACACCTAAAATGGAAACAATATCTGCACAACAGCTTGTGTTTTGCATAGGTTTCCAATGTAAGTCAGCCGGTACATTTAGTTTTGCCATTAGAGAATAGCACAAAGTAAAGTTCAGGTGTAGGTAATTACACAAGTGGTGCAGCAGCCAATTTATAGGAAGAAGATAACTACGTAAGAAAAGCAGCACCATTTTTCTTCATCAAAAGCCCAAAACTCAAACACAAGCCCCAGACAGAAAAGTTCATCAAACAGTAAAAAAGGTTAAGTTCAGAATCCTTAGCTTTGATGCACAAAAAAACAAAAAAGAAAAAGATCATTACATGCAAAAATCGCCCCTGAAGTGTCCAGTTTACCAGTATTCCTGGTTTTAAACCGCAGTTCAAGGCAACAAAAAACTTATACATACCAATGCTTGTACTTGGGTTAATTTATAGACCAAAACCAAGTTCTTTCTCTAGGAAAACATGTCAGCTTCTGCAATCAAATGTAGGTGTATCTTTATCTTGGCACTTTTCAAAACAAACTACAGAAATCCAGCAAGAACCTGATAGGTGTATCAGTATTTGCATTATATCATAGGAAGTTACCTTTTCCAATTTAATAAGATTAGCAGTTAACTCATCACAAAGGGTATCAGCTTTGATTTGCAGATGAGATCCCAAACCTTGGCGCACTGGATGTCTGTTAAGCAGAACGAAGATATAAATATGACAGGTGAAAAAGAAGAAAACGGAACCAAGAGACACATGTAGATGGGAAACAACGGCAACATTGCGAACTGTACTTGTTTACAGAAACAAAGGCCTAAGTCACCTCTGCACTCTTGACTACACTCTTTATGTGGTCAATTCTCCAGAAGTTGGACAGAAAACTTTTTAATTTATTTCTAGTGAAAATAGTTGTAAAGTTGCACAAGTTCCCTGTCCATGACTTGGAGGAAACAAAAAAGCCCAACCCCTTGACACTCTATAAACAAACTCATCCTATATCTCATTCTATTTGGGATCAGAGCAACAGAAAACAGCACCTTTTCATGTACAAGTGCTTTAGAAGAGGGATGCAGCATCCCGCTAATAAAAACATGGCAAAAGTAGGAAAGTGGCACTTGATACTGCCTACTGTTAGAGTAGGTTTACCCCTTTCCTTGCATTATTGGTAAAATATAAATGCAAGCTTGTTTAAGGTAAAGAACCATTTCCTTCTCATTGCTTTTTAATCAAGAAGCTAGCTCTGTCTTCTGACACTTTCGTATGTGTCCTATTGCTTTCCATAGAAGGCAGCTGAGAGCAGTTGGATCCTGAGCAGCAGAGTCATTGTTCAATATGAGTGCACTGCCAGGGTAACCTGTTTGGCATGGATGGGTCATCAAAGAAAGCTGAATTAATAAGCGCACTATCCAAGAGCTTGCTACAGGTTTGAAACACAGCAGATGGTTCCACTCAGCCTAGGAACAGCTCCATCTTGAATTTTATTTTCCCTCTCTGTTTTGGAAGGTAATGTTTCTTGAGCCGTCACAGCATTCTCATTCATGCTGCACGAGGCTGCAGGTTTTGCACTGAGATTTACAAGTGACTTTTGAAGCCAAGTTTTTCAGAGCAAGTCAGAAAAAAAAAAATCAGTTATAAGAAGGGGAGAAGAGTTAATGCAAAATTTAATGCTGAATAAACTGATTAGCATTCTCAGCAACAATGTTATAACTGCCTTCTGTCCTAAGAGAGGAGCAAGAAGTTGATACAATTTGAAGTGGCATATTATTGTGGTATATGTCCCTGTACTCCCTCTTCACATGATGTTTGCATATTCCGCAGCACAGAAAATAAAAATCTAATAAAATATGCAGGGCAGATGACATCCACAATGCTAGCTACAGAATGGAACTATCTATGAAATACGGCCCCTTTCCCGATCTCCCCTTCAAATACACAAAGAACCCTCCCTTATTGTTTTTGGATATGTGATTTTATATGTTATTTTCATTTTAGCAAGACAGGATATTAGTTTCTGAAAAGAATACAGGAAGCCCAAAGATTTAGAGAACATTATACAAGCAAGTCAGATGCATACACTTAAAGGTTATGAAGTACCTTTTGTCATTTTAGGCTAAGAAAATGCAATTAACATTGAAGACAGAGGTTACACCTTTTCCACAGAATCATTGCTCTGGAAAGGAACTGCTTACTTCAGTAGTTTACACTGAAGTTACTCATGGCTATCTGAAACATGCTCAAGGCAGTAGCATGGTGTGCTTACACATTTATACTAGCAGTCTTAAACAGAAAGTAAGATAAGGCCTAGTACAGATACAAGAAACAGAGGACACCAAAGGATGCTACAGTATCACAGTGGTTTCTGAAGAAAACAGATGAGCCTGACAGATACTGGAAAAAAGATTTTAACCTCCAAAATTGTACAGAGTGTATCTTACTCCTTAATATGTGAATCAAAGGATGTGATGGAAATAAGACGCTCCTCCAGGACACTGATTTTGTATCTCATGTAGAAGGTAGAAAATATTAATGCGCAAACACTGTAAGAGAGAAAAATAAGGTATATCAGTTAATGATAACTTCAGAGGTACCCAACAAATGTAACATTAAAAGCCACTTCAATTTGTCAATTGTACTTGCTGAATAACAGAGGCATCGTTCTTACAAACATCTCAGGAATAGCCATCAGTGGCATACAGTTAGAAGAATCTCAGATTTGAGTATGGCTTTGCTAAGTGACATGTAAAACAGACTTGCAAGTAATCAGACTCTTTTAATATTTCCTGAACCAAAAGATCCTTTGTTTTTAAAATAAGAGGCCTGTTCAGCAAGCCTATCCTAGCATTTCTACTTCCAAAAAGTACCAGGGCCACATTTCCCAATAATTTCCTTTATTCAAGTGAAGCTTAGATTATATAAATCTTTGTAAACATTATCAAAATAGTAGGATTTCCTTATCTTGGTATTGATTGCTAACTTACAGGACTGCATAAAATACAAGTATGTGGTTAAGAGATAAGAGCTTCTGTGATTTCAGTTTTTGGAAGAACCCAAAGGCTTCAGCTTCAGAATGGCCTGTGAGGAAAAGAACCGAGTGTTACTTTGACCAGGGAAGACCACAGCACACAAACAGTGTTTTGAAGCATCCAACAGATAATAAAAATAGAGGGATAAACAAGAAAGAGATCTTCCAAATAATGTGAACTGACATAACTAGGCAAACTTACCTCAACTAACTCTAGCTGAAGATCTGCTGTGGATGCCTCATTCCTTACAGTTTTCCAGGCCAGGCTGGATGAGGCTTTGACCAACCTGGTCTAAAGGGACTGCCCACAGCAAGAGGACTGAAACTAGATGATCTTTAAGGTCCTTTCCAACTCAAACCATTCTACCATCTGCCCTTGAGTGCTTACCATTTCGAGGACTGTTTCGGACCTTTCCGTCAGGTCCACGTTTACTGTGTGCATCTGAACGGACAGACTTTGCCTCAGTCTTGGAAACTTTCAAGTGAGTCTGTGTTTCAACGACACGATAATCTGCCAAAGGAAGATTTTTAATAAAACTGTAATACCAAGTCAAAGGAAACTGTTGGTATCTTCAGCTAATCAAAGAGTAGGGGACGAGGAGGATTTTAAAAGGTCTATTTCTGGACTTGGACAGAAAGCAGCAGCAGGTTTAGTAGCCTTAAAACAATCTACATAGTAATTCCACATTGTCAAAATGTAAAGAAGCACTTGGACTGGGAGAGGATGATGTATGCTACATTTACATTTCCAGATCCTTTGCAACATGGCAATCTGTGCAAACTTTGAAGCTTATCACCAGCCAGAAGATGATAAAGTAATGTTTCAAAAGGATGGAATATTCTAGAGTAATGATTCCAAACAACTGTAATAGGAACATCAAATGGAGGTACTGCACTGTTACTTTAAAAAGGAAATTAGAGCTTCCTTTCCCAACCGATTTTTAAATCCAGATGATAAGAGATGGGACAGAAATACCCAGTTACCCTCACTTTCGTTAATGCTTTACTTGCACACCCTGGGGCTGCTCTAATGATGCACAAGAAACAGAATCACAAGTGGCAGATGTGCTCTCCCCTACTCTTCAATTCTTTTTCTTAGGGTGATTCTTTAACTGGATATTGTTTTTTTACTTTTGGAAAAGGAAAATGGAAAGGTTTGAAGTAGTTATTAGAGATAAGGAAGTAGGAAAGCTAGTTAAATCATTATTCAGAAGCATTCACATTGCAAGTGATGACACCACAATTTAGCTGCAGCTTCACAAACACCAACAGACAATAAAAAATACATACACAGTAAATACCAAAGACCAGTTAAAGCCCCAAATCACATCACTGAACAAAAGACACATAGCAAAAGAGTTAAATAAAAAAAAATCACAGAAAACTGCTATAAAGACAGGGTTTCACTGAAAAGTAAAGGTAAAAGTTTATTATGCAAGTTATTACATAAGTCAAGATGGAACCCAGAGTAATAACAGCATAACAACACATTGACATGTTAATACGTATTAACTGTACAGCAAAATAATTCCCTACGTTTTGCTAATAACATTCAGCATGTGCCATGTGAAATAAGTTCTGCTGTACTTACGAACTTATATGCAGTGAGTTTCTAC